CATCATCTGTGGCCCTTCCACTGGGGAGTCCCCCGAGTCTGCTCACACCCCACTCAGAGCTCCCCTCCTCTGAGTGAGCCTGTGTTTTTTGTTTCATGATCTTGTGTGTTGCCATTGAATTACCAAAACCAAACCTACCACCATTGAGTAGACTCAGACTCATAGCAACATTGTATCCATAGGAGAAAGGACCCCTGTGGGCGTCTGAGGCTGGGAACTGGAATGGGAGCAGACAGCCCCATCATTCCCTCTCGGAGCTACTGGTGGGGGTTGTTTGACTAGGCTAGGAGCTACTGGTGGGGGTTGTTTGACTAGGCTAGGAGCTACTGGTGGGGGTTGTTTGACTAGGCTAGGCCTGTTGTAGGGGACAAAAGAGACCCCCAATATGACTTACATCTCATAGTGACCCCTATATACGATGGAAGGAAACACTGCCCGTGTCTTCCTCACAGTTGTTGCGCGTAAGCCGTTGTTGCAGCCACTGTGTCCGTCTTAACTCCTTGAAGGGCTCCCTCTTTTTCACCGCCCTGCTTCTTTACCAAGCCTGGTGTCCTATTCTGGGGACTAGTCTCTCCTGGCATCATGTCCCAAGTACATGAGACAAAGTCTTGCCATCTCGCTCCTAAGGAGCATTCTGGCCATACTTCTTCCGAGACAGATTTGTGTGTGCTTTTGGTAGTCCATGGTGCTTTTCAGTATTTTTTTAACCAGCAACACATCACTTATGGAGATTGTTTTGAGTGGGACAAAGCCTGACATCTAAGGATTTACAGAAACGGCCCCTTTGTGTAGGACCCAGGAGTACTGGGAAACTGCCACAGAAGCATGATTGGCCATAGATCAGTGCATCGGCTTCAAGCAGCCTGCAGGAGCAGGAGGGGACCAGAACAGGGACATGTACATTCTGCTAGATAGAGGGGCTTGTGTTGTAAGCTGGGTCCAGCGCCTGCCTTCCTGCCAAGGTAGTCAGGGTATGACTCTGACCACGTGAACCCCAGGACCTTATTTCTATCAAGGACATACGTAGGCAAGTCCTTCGGGGCAAAGACCAAGACCAAACTCAGCACCAGTGAGTAGATCCCAGCTCATAGTGACCTTATGGGACAGAGCAGAACTAACCCTGTGAATGTCCACCTTTGGGAGTCCAGAGGCTTCTTGAAACTGCTGCCTTGGTTAGTCGCCCAATGAATTGGAAAGCCCAGCCCCTTCCTAATGCACTTTGCCTGAGGGCGAGGCTGTTCACACCGCCAGTTCACAGTCAGGAATAGTGCCCTGGAGAGACCCAGAAAGGGATTTTGGGAGTCTCTCTCCACACCTAGTGCTCATAATTGACGCTCCTTTACAGCCTAATGTGAAGCAAGGAGCCTTGGTGAGTGCAGTGATGAAGCGCTTGGCTGCAAACAACTCCTGGGGGTCTAGGTGGGGTCTG